CCCTTATTATGAGCTAGAATTTTTGTATCTTTGATCTGAAGCGACTTCATGACATCAAGACCTTCCTGAATCCAGTAGGCCAAGCAAAGAAGCTATTTTTCTAGTCCAGGAGATAAATAGATCTGCGTTTTACGTTACTTGTGCATGATCTTTCCCTGTTCTTGTTCATAAGAATGTTGGGTGCTTCCAAGTCAGATTGTCACACAGAGACACTATTATCAGTGGCCTAGAAATGATGAGAAATGGTGATCCAGTGAAGGATAGCATTATAACATGCGTACATTAGTTCCGGTCTCCTTTTGGAGGTTGAAGAATCCATCCTGCTAATGGTCAACAAAGAAGGAATTGATTAATCCGAGTGCTGTAACTTTTATAAGTCCACATGAAATGCAAAGGGGAAGAACATAAATGTCAAAAAGTGATGGAGGGTAAAAGCCTGAACTTAACTTTTGGCTGACACTAAAGATGGAGCTTTCGCTGGCACATCGACTGTAATCCAAGAATCTGGTTGTGTAGTAGTTAAATATTGGCGAGGAGGAGACCTGTTTCAAGTGTGAAGGGTGGCTGCTTGCAAAGTCGTGGCTTTTGGAACGTTGAGAATAACTTCATGCAGACAAAGTCGACCTTTGCTTACTTCAGAGCGCTTCCTTTCTTCCTCTATAAATTTTGCTCTTAACACATAATTCCACCATAGCTCTTCTCCTCTTCCTTCTTTCGAGTTCCGAAATCCATCCAAATTTGGAACTTCCTTGGTCGTTTCAACTTTTCAAGAATTAGTGGCTTGAAGTTTTAATCGTTCCAAAAAAATCTGGGTTGTATGAGAAGAATGATCTTGACTCACAAGGCTTGTATCCTTTGGAAGATCTGTTTAGAGAAAAGCTATTATTTTTGGACATTCCATACTTGTAATCGGTACACCGCGAGAACAGAGACGCAGCTTTCATTGATTTAGTGCAGTTCCTTGTTCGCATCTTTGTTTCTCGTATGCTCCTCTTCTGACATAGTGTGTGGATAAGTAGTGCAAGAAAATGAATGCTATGTTGTTGCCACCGGGTTTCCGTTTCCATCCCACTGATGAGGAGCTGGTGGGATACTACCTGAAGAGGAAAGTGGAAGGGCTTAAGATCGAGCTCGAGGTCATTCCGGTGATCAGTTTGTACAAGTTCGATCCATGGGAGCTACCAGGTAATGTCTTCTCCTTGTTGGTTGAAGTGCCATTGCGATTTGCTTCTGTTCATCTTTTCTTTTGTAGTATGTCACTGATTTATTTATAAGCATGCAATGAACAAAGATGGTGACAGCGTGCCAATTCTTCAAGTGATAGTGACTTTAAATATTGGAAAGAAAGAAAAGAATGGTTATTTTTAGCATATATTCCTAGCAAAAGGATTTTATGTTTGATCTGTTGGTGGAAAATCTTGCTGTGTTTCCGAATCAAATTCTGCATGAAAATGTTGTAAGCGTCTAACAGGTCGTCTAGATATTGGATCATGCAAAAACCACTAATATATTAAAGGAATAACAAGTAAAAAGATTGGGAGGATTTGACTCCAATCTGTTCAATTGTTTGATTCCAGAAAAATCATTTCTTCCGAAAAGAGACTTGGAGTGGTTCTTCTTCTGCTCATGGGATCGCAAGTACCCAAATGGTTCGCGCACAAATAGAGCGACAGCTTCGGGATACTGGAAAGCCACCGGAAAAGATCGAAAGATTGCCTGTGAGCCCTCTGCATTTGGACTGAGGAAGACTCTTGTGTTCTATCTTGGACGGGCTCCTGGGGGACAAAGAACAGTTTGGATCATGCATGAGTACCGCCTTTGTGAAGATCTTTTCCATGGATCTTCTAACTTTTTGGTAAGAAAGACACACACAACATCTTAATGCTATTCTTTCAAGAAAATTCTTGAATTTTCATAATTCTCATAATGCAACCTTCCTAGGGAGCTTTTTGTTTATGCCGAGTAATCAAGAGGAGTGGAAATTGGCTGAAAAGAAGTAGTAATCGACAAGAAGAACCCAAAGCTGAAAAGTATCCTTCCAACATGTTTGACTTCAACCGCAAAAGAAACATTGATGAGATCTTCAATGGCACAGAAGAAAGTTCATCTCTTGATCTGTTTGACAGAAGCAGTGGTTCATCTGTCATCAACTCTCCAGAAATTGCAAGATGGGTTGAGCCAGATCCAATAATTACAGTCCCCAGCGTGCCAGATGCATCAAAGGTATCAACAGCACTTCTTCCTTTGTGGGTGCCATGATATAATTGATCCCAAACAGCCCCGGAATGTTATACCATGGTCAACTCGATACCGAAGACGAGTACTCCTTTCATTCTAAATGAGCAGCTTGCTACTCATCTTCTTTCTTTCGTCTGCAGGCTTCTTCTGAAATGTACTACACGGAGGAAGCTTTTGCGATCAATGATCGTGGGACGAAATGCTTGCCATCTTTCTCAAGTCCTGTACATTGCATGGAGATGTGCAGAAACTGGGAAGACATTACGTTTCAGAGCCTCGAATTGGATGCATCATCATACGGTGGTTCTATTTATCATTGAATGCTAAGCCATCTTATCTTTCATCTTACCGTTTCTTTGATTGCAGGAGCTGAAGCTTTCAATGCAACCATACCTCCTCCAATTTGTAGGCAGGGGAGTGAAGGGGAAGAAGCCAACTTATGGTTACAGGAAGACAATATAGTGACTGTGATGTGAGATATTTTACAAGATGGAACTGCAGATAAAGATATGCAGCACAGCCCCTTTTAATGTCTGTGTCTGGAGGGACCAAAGTATTTATATATGTATACGGTGAACTATTCTCAAATACGAAAATGATGTACCATGAAACCATGCATGTAATCTCTCGCCAATAATCGTGAGAATAAAAGCCACATTTCAATTTGTAGTTTTGCTATGTTATTATTGTGAAGGAGTGCATAGTTGATCAACAAAAGAAGTAGAACATACAGGAAGTGCCATTTCAGAAGCCTGGCAAAAAGAGAGAAAGCAGAGGAAACATGATGAAGCATATGTGCTCAAATGTCAAGTTGGTTTACGAGAAACCCATACCACCATTCAAAGAATCTAAGAAAGAAACCATTTGTTAAGTAACTTGGTCATGACATTGAACACAAAGATTGCAATTCTTTATGGAGAAAATGTAGAAAGTTCAAGTTCAGAGCAGACCGTTGCATTCAACGACTAAATGGAAATCAACAACTGAAGCTCCTAAATTTCCTTTCAGTTCTACAACTGGTGCCATTATTCTGTCAGCATTCAGCAAGTCGTGAAAATGCTTGTATATAGCATGTTTTGGTCAATTTACATTTTTGATATGTTTTTTGGGAGAGACTCCTTGCCATGTTTGACATCGTAGCGGCAAATGATTTGTGGGGAGTATTTACGCAGCAAAAATGATGGTGATTGGCATTCATGTTGTTAGCAGATCAGCCAGTGTCAACGCTATGCATTCTGATTAGTAGTAGGATTGGAGGAGTAGCTATCATTCTTGATTTGTTTTGCATTATAGTAAGTAAATTTCATAGACCTTAGCCAACCTTTGTGGAATTACTATTAGATGGATGTGTAATTTTTAGCTTTCAATATCAAGACAAGGGGATTTAACCAGAGTTCAGGCTTACCTACAGGAGGGACCAAACATATGGGCAATTGTAAGCATTTTGTGGTCATTTTTCTCTTCCATAATTCCATATCTTGCTGATTAATTATGCTTTATAAAAAAAAAAAAAGCTGCCTGCAGTTCTTCATAGATAAGCTAATAGAGAAGTTTGAGTCTTTTCTTATTTGACTCAAATGCCCAAGTATTTGACCCAGTTAAGTTTTTCTTTAGGTGGGGGATCACCTCCTCTGATCTCTAAGAGGAAAAAAAATAAAAATATATGTTATGGAAAAAAAAGTCTTGGCTATCATTAGAAAAAAGAAGATTGAATGAGGAGACAGATATTGATTATAAAGGTTTGAAATTTTCTTGAATGCCAGATTTGTGTGGCTCAGCAATCTTTAGTTGGATTAAGCCACTGTCAATCCTATCCTCAGCTTATTCTCATCAGTAAACATTATATCTCTTCAGTTCTTTTAATATAAGTTGATAAATAATATTTATCTACTGATTTCACCAAAAGAAATATTCAAGGAAACATTCAACAGCATTCTCCCTCATCAGTGCATATTTCCATGACTGACTTGCATATACATTACATTAGAGATTCAGGACATTCTGCAGTCACAAGGCTTTCTTACCTAATGAAGACATAAATTGCAGACATTTATTATACATAATTATGTGTCTAAACTTTCATCTCAAATTCAGGATTGGTGGTGTGAGATTAGCTCAATGACCAGCTGTTCTCAGCTCAGCAGAGAGGGACACTGGGAGAGCTTGAAAGTTACAGGGAATGATTGTCTTTCTAATCTGCTGAACTGTCACAATAAAAGAAAAAAGGTGGCAACAAACTTCAGATCTCACATGATTGAGTAATGCAAACAAATGCAATGAAACTACAATCTTAGCATGCACTTTCGCAGCATAAGTTCCCAGTAAGCTTCTGAGATTGACCTGGTTACTTTTTCATACTTTAAATATTTAGATCTGTCACAAAAGAATGAAAGATAAAGAAGCCAAATAGTGTCATCAATTGGAAATATTGCTCTTCAACCTCTCAGTGTTTGCCACTTCACAAGGGAAATATTAAGTTGAGGATATGCCAATATATGCATTTTTGTTGGATTGACAAATATTTTTGAAATCCTAAAAGATGTAAACTATTTGGTAAATTAGGATCTAGATTATGTATATATAGATTTTAGTAGGGGAATAAGATGTAAGAAAACACTTTGAGCATTTTTCTCTAATGGATCAAGAGAAGGTTCGATAAAAAAATAAGATAAATAGAGGATATACAAGATGATTTGTACTTGAGTTGGGGGTTAACTCGAGAATGATACTTGTAATTGATATCACATAGTGAAAATTTTAGTTTTCTCGACGAAAGCAATGAGTGTCAAACCATATAAATGTTTTATTATTTTTGTAATATATTATTTATTTATTTATTTATTTATTTATTTTGACAAAAAAACTTTTATTGAATTCAAAAAAATATAGCTAGGGGACTGGATAAAAGATGTAGATCACCTGATTTATAAAAACTGAGAATAGGCAGGTTTTTCCCAAAGAAAACTAATTGATATACTATGCAGTTCACTGTTATAGGTACAAAACTAAGTATGAACACTTGGAAGTGTTCTTTATTTGTTTCAAAGTCTGTAATTTCTCTTATGATTTCAAAGTCTTTTCTCCTTTAACAAAATGGCACCATAGCTTAAAAAATCTTAGATCATGTGATAGAAAATTCAACAACGATGAGTGATGAAGATTAGAAGCACAAAATATTTATCAAGCAGGATATTATTAGGATTCAAATTACTTGGTAAATTAGGATATAGATTTTGTTTAGGAATTCAAGTCAAAAAAATCTCTATGTCTTAGTGGAGAACAAGATGTAAAAAATACTTTGATGGCTTTGAGATTCTCTTTATTTATTTTAAAGAGAGTAAGAGAAAAGCTTAGAGAAATTTTTCATTGAATTTATGCTTAAGTTAGAGTTAGCTCAAGCATGCTTATAATTATTCTCATATGATGAAAATTTTAATATTTTTCATAGACAGAGACAAAGAGCATCAAACAACTAAATCCTCTATCAAATTGTTTTGATGATTTTTTAATATATTTTTTATTTATTAATATCATAGATTTTTCTCTGAAACATTCCCTTTCCCAAACACTTTCCACCTAAACTTCTTTTAACCAGAAAAACCTGCTAAATCAGCATCTATGTGGACCTCATATCTTAAAGCTAAAGGCTATATGAATTATCTTAAGATGACACAGCATGTCTCTTCAGTGGTTTCAGATCCTACACCTCTGACTGCCATCATCCTGTGGCTGAAGTCAACTCCAATCCATGTGTTCTATCTCTTGGTTATCTAACTTCTTTGCAAGAGTGACTAAAGGCGTTATTGGCATGAGGAGGAGACAGTGAAACCTTCAGACCAAGTAGATGACCTTTTATATATCATATTCTTAACTCCACTAAACTATTCTGGTCAACCACCTGCCTTCCCTTTAACTATTCTACACATTGCCACTTATCTGAATCCATGTGATCTCAATTTCATGTCATTCGATCTCCATCAGATACTATTTTGCAAAGCAAGGCCCCCTTTTTCTTATGCAAGAAATAAACAAGAAATTTTCTACCAGTTCTTGCAGAAGACCTAAATTTATTAATGCCACTCATTTCTGATATGATGCCTATCTGATGTCAAAAATGCTTAGACTTTTCCTTTTCTGAACAAGCTGTATTGTAGAGTTCATCAACACAAGTCTAGGTGTTAATCTATTGCAATTTGGAGCCATATGGGGGCTCACAATCAGATCTAAACCATAGAGGTGTATAGAAAGATTACAAGTGAGATGTAATCTCCCCTGCTCCTATCTCTTGGGAATTAGGAAAGCACTGATAACAAAAAAATAGAAAAGTACAGATTAATTCAGTATGGTTCAAGATCCAAAAAAAAATTCTGATCCAAGTAGAATATGCTGGTCAAACTTGTGTTGTGAACTCTAGCAGCAAAAAAGATGGTTTTGATCCAGTTGAACCATTATTGTGTTTTTCAGTGAATCAAAAGTCAATGGATGCTTAATCTTCCACCTAAATCTGATAGTTTTATGGTGTTGATCACAAGGCATCATAAGCAGCCCATGCATTGATTAAGGCAGCATTATACTGCCTAAACAGTTCATCATCAGGCCTCTCTTTCTCATTTGAATAATTCCTATAATTAAAGCACTGACCATCATAATGGATCATTAAAAACAAATATATTGACCAAAGAACTCCTGAGTGAATATTAGCAAGATGTACTCAAGTCATTTTTAAAAGGAAAAAAAAAATGTAGACTTTCTATGCGCTAATTACTACCATTCAATTTGTGAAGCAAGTTGGCTCCTTGATGGTCTAAGAACTATTTTCCAATTTCATTGATCAACCTTTGATCTTCCTACATGTGCAATGTTTCTCAAGTCATAACTTCCTTCAACCAATCATGTACCACATCAAGCAAGCTATTGAAGACTCCATTGAATGCAAGTGAAGTGCACTTGTTTTTGGAGGATAGAAAGAGAAGAATTTCCACAAGAATAAGTGGAGAACAATCCATAGAAGGATCAAAGTCAGCTCAACCACCACAACTTCAATTCCATGAAACAAATTCTTAAGACCACGTTTCTGCCACCAAATCACAGATGAAACCTTCAAAGTCATTGACTGGTGATATGAACACATGAAGTGGTTCCTACAAGAAGAGCCACCCCATTCTTGCCCAACCTATCTAAACCATCTGAATGCTTGACCAACCTAATGATTTGAAGCATTTTATTGTCTGATCTCATCCCATTTGAAATAAGTATAAGCCCATAGTTTGGTTAGATATGTTACATAACGAGGAATTCAACTGCTACCGCCTTGGAACTTGCTTGCAATTCTCTTCATGCTGTAAACATATATAGCTCGATCGCAAGCATCTTTGGCCATTGACTTTGACTTTTCTTATGCCACCTTGCTCGCTATATATATATATATATACCAACTCTTTCGAAGACTCAGGCTGAGAGCTCAACCAACCATGGAAGCTCCATTCTTGTTCCAGTGCCCCATTTCGCTGGAGCTAATGGAGGACCCGGTGACAATCGCTACCGGCGTCACGTACGAGAGGAAGAACATCGAGAAATGGCTGTTCACATACAAGAAGTTGACGTGCCCCGCCACCATGCAACGACTGGAGAGCTTTGATCTCACCCCCAATCACACTGTCAAGCGTCTCATCTCGTCTTTCCTGGAACATGCAGCTGATGAGGAACCCGTCACGTCGCCTCCATGCTCGTATGATGCGGTGGATCACGACAAATTGGTGTCGCTGCTGAAGAGCATCCAAACGGGCCCCTTCAAGGCCAGTGGCCTGAGGAAGCTCAAGGTTCTCGTCGAGAAGAACGATGAGTTGCAGAAGGATTTGATTAGATCGGGAGGCATCGAAGTGCTGGGCTGCGTTATGTCTCATGTCGTCGTGGAGAACTCCGACTTCACCGCGTTCCGAGCTTGCGAGGAGGCACTCGGTGTCCTCTCCCTCCTCCCCTTATCAGATGATGCTACGGTGGAGCTGATACTGAAGCCTGATTCCTTGAAACCGATGATGGTAATCATCCAGAGGGGAAGCGCCGAGGCTCGAGTCCACGCCATGTCCATCTTGATGAAGATTTCGAAGATCAGTAACGAGTGGATCACCAAAATGGTAACCGATCAAGACGTGGACATTGTCAAATCCTTGTTGGACCTCTTGTCCGATGAGATCTCCACCAAGCTCAGCTCCTCCTCGTTGGATGTATTGCTCGAGATCGTCGCAACGTCGAACAAGAATCGCCTCAAGGCGATCGAAGCTGGTGCCGTCTGCATCTTGCTCGAGCTCCTACCCGACGCCAGCCGACACAACTGCGAGAAGGTATTGTTATTGCTCAAGAGGCTCTGCGAGTGCGCCGAAGGCCGATCAGCGTTCGCTGACCATGGGCTGGGCGTCGCGGCGGTGTCGAAGAAGATAATGCGCGTGTCGGAGATGGCCACCAAACTGGGCGTCCAGATCATGTGGCTCATGAGCAGCTTCCACCCCAGAGAGAAGCTGCTGGAGGAGATGATGGTGTTTGGAACGGTGAGGAAGCTCCTGGCTTTGTTGCACATCGATGGGCGATCATCGTCTACGAATGAGAAGGCAATCAAGATGATGAAGCTGCATGGGGCTGTATGGAGGCAGTACCATTGTTTTCCCAGCGAATTGAAAGACTTCTTGAGATTGAATCATTGATCTTCGCCCACCCATTTCTCATCCACTTGTGTAGAGAAAAGAAAAGAATGAGAAGGTTTGACATCATTCTGTGATTTTTCAGGTGCATCTGAGCTGACAAATAAGAAAATTTTGTTGCTATCAAAAGTTCAGATAATGTCAATGGTGCCATATTCTGCAACTTTCCAGGAATTTGCAGGTCAAAGACTGAATACCCTGCTGTTCATGATTAGAAAAGTTCAAGCCTTATAACCATTCAGGAACATCTTATCATTCCTCGTAACCATTCAAGGCTATGCCCAGATTCCTTGTAACGCAGTTTCTTCTCCATAGCTAGGAAGACATCCACAGTAGAACCTCCCAGTAGTCTTCTCATGTTATGAGTTTAATATGACTGAATTAAGGACAAAGTATCCTAAGGATAAGTATTAGCCTCACCACAATATACTCTAATTTAATCAGATTAAACAGTCTATTTACTGTTCATCTGGTAGAATGATGTCATTCCCTTATCTTCATGAATCGTAAAAAGTTTGATAATATGAAGATTTCTAAACTACCAGTTTAACAAGAAAATCTTATAATGATTCAAGGAAAAGGTTATGAATTGCTTGAGAGAATAGAATGGGACCTAAGAGGGGGAGAAAAGAAAAAGGGAAATCAAGTTCCACTGCAGCTTTGGTTTTAGTATTACCATCGAGAAAGGAAAGAAAGAAAGGGATGAAAAAAAGTTTATATATTAAGGATTAATAGGTTTTTAGATATTATTATTTGTTATATTAATTTATGTTATTTGAATGATTTAGGAGAAGAGAAAAGACCTCAATTATTCTATTCGTTATAATATTTTACGATGAAGTAAGAATTCGATTATTGTAAGTATAATCATAGATAATTTACTCTTTATGATCTAAAAGTTCTAACAATAGGTGATATGAGCAAACACAACTCGATAAACACTCCAACACATATGCAAGCAAAATTGATCATAAGAAATGTTTTGCTAAACTTATGCATTCTTTATGCATTACTTATATTAAAAAATACATAAATGTTAAATCTTCCTTAATGCTTACATAAAGAATAAATCATAAACTTTTTAACATCAAAAGTGCATAGGATAAGATTCGAGACACAATCGTTTGAAAACATTTTCATAACAAAAATATGTGCGGCTAAAATGTATATAATAATAATAATTAGCTTAGAACATTATCATTAACTAATTATAGATAAGTATAAATATAATTAGATGTTCGTATCTAAATTCATAGATGATCATAATTATAGCCAAGTGTACATAACAAAACAAAAGTTAAAATATTATTGGTTAGATGCGTTCTATCCTCATGAAAAGGGTCGTGATCATGAATAACTCTTGTGATATATGCAACACATTTATCCATATGTTAGGATCAGAAAAAACTAATGTACTATAACCATTGTATAAATCCTATTAGTAGGTCTAGATTGGAACCATACAAAGTAAATAAAAATTAGTAAAAATAATGCATCAATATATATTTCAATAAATAAGTCTTTACATATCATTTCAAATGTAACAAATAATATAACAATTAAAACTATAAGAACAAAAAAAAATTCAATTATGTTAAATAAATATAATATCAAATAGATATTTTGAAAATTAGTCATTTATTCAACTATTATAAATCATATAACATTATTGGTTAGAACCATATATTTACCTTGATCATAGACTGTTATTATTGAAAATAAGTTAGATAGAGTCATCAGATACTTTACTTTGATTATAAACTATTTGACACAATGATCCAGGTCCTTTCTCTTTTTCGAAATCATTAAAATAATGTAAATTAATATAATAAAGAATAAATTCTAAAATCATATTAATCTTTAATATATAAACCCTTTTTTCATCCTTTCCTTCTTCTATTCCTCAATAGCAATCATTTATTCTTATTTCTTATTTCCTCTTTCTCTAAGCTCATATAATGTTTAAATGATTAAAATTAATCCTACTTACTTTTGTAATTAGTAGGAAAAAATAAGAAGTCAAAAATGTGCATAAATATTTTTTTTT